GCTCAGCCCCGCCCCCTGCGCGTTCCCCGATCCCGCCCACTCTTAGCCCCGCCCACCAGTATAAAACAAACTCCTCCGCTACTCAGCCCTGCCCGGTGCGCACAGCAACCCCTTCGACACCTAACCCCGCTCCCTTTTAACAGACCGAGCCCCACAGCTCAGCCCTGTACCGCACCCCTACGCCTGACCCCGCCCCTCGCCCACGGCCCAGCTCCGCCCCATGCGCTCTTGCCTACCTCTCTCATACCTAAGCCCGCTCACCTGCACATACCAAACGCCCACCCTGCTCAGCCCCGACCCCCGCGCTCTTACCGACTGCTCCCACGCCTAACCACGCCCACCCGTGCAGGACAAACTCCCAGCCTGCGCAGCCCCGCCCTTGCGCCCTTACCTACCCCTCCCATGCCTGACTCCACCCCCTCCATACAGATCGCCCCTGCTCAGCCCCGCCCCTGAGCTCTCATCGACCCCTCCCACGCCTAGTCCTCTCCCCTCCGTACAGAAAGACCCTGCTTAGCCCCGCCCCTACTCTCACCAAATCCTCCCACGTCTAACCCTGATACCCCCGCTCAGATCGCCCCTGCTCAGACCCGCCCCAGCACTCTTACTGACCCCTCCCACGCCCGACTCCGCCCCCTCGGTACAGACCAACCCTGCTCAGCCCCGCCCTTACTGACTCCTCCCACGCCTGACTCCGCCCCTCTGTACAGACCGACCCTGCTCAGCCCCGCCCTTACGCTCTTACTGACTCCTCGCTCGGCCCCGCCCTTACGCTCTTACTGACTCCTCCCACGTCTGACTCCGCCCCTCTGTACAGACCGACCCTGCTCAGCCTCGCCCCCTAAGCTTATTAGGCAGTGAACCCACCCTTGACTTGACTGGGCCTCCACTGTTTCAAGGCCCCCAGTTACTTTGATCTCAAGGGAACACCCTCCTCGGCGCTCACCGATAGGGTTCAGGGTGGTGGGAGGAAGAGGGTGGGCGGGTTAGTGAGACGCGGCGACAGTGGCTGTGAGCACTCACCTGGGCCCTGCGCCGGGGCGCGCTCCACCTCGTTGCAAGCAGGCCCCGTGCACAGCTCCCGGGCGAGCGGCCTGCGCGCGCTGACGTTGTAGAAACGCGTGGCCTCGAAAGCTGCGGGTCGAGGGGTGACGTGTGACGGGCTGAAGGGGTAGCAAGGTGAGGGGCCGGGCTGGGGGCGGGGGCCTACAAGGCTCGTAGTAGTAATAACC